TGACTAGTTTGCCTACTAGTTTGCATGCCAAGCGCTAGTAAGTTTTCTATCCGGGATCTGGAATCCTGGCGCGCACGCGTACACACACACCCCCAGGATATAGTCACTTATCGCCCCCATTTTATAGAGGAGTAAACTGAGGTTCAGAGAAGGGACATGGCCAGGTAAGAGACTCAAGAGTCAGGAAGGTGCCCAGGTCCCAATTAGCGCCTGATTCCTGGGGGAGGGGAGAAGGCGATGAACTAGGGGAGCGCGAGCTGCGGCGGGGGCAGAAGGGGAAGCCGGAGATTCGCAGCGGCCTTCCGATGCGGCCCCGCCCCCACGAGGGACGTGAAGACGCGGACCCCGCGCAGCGTGGGGACATGTGACCGACTGCAGAGGCCGCGCCGCCTCTCCTGCCCGAGGTCTGCGCGCTCAGCCGCAGAGTGCAGACCCCGGGAGCCCTCCTGGGTTTGGGGCACAAGAGCAGAGGCGGAGCTAGGGTGGAGCCAACGCTCCCCCGCAATCGAAAGCGAAAGAGGGGGCCGGGGAGGAAGGGCGGAGCCGGTCCGGAGCCCCGCCCCCTGCCCTGCGCGCTGCTGGACCGCGGGGCGCGCCCAGGTAGGGGGTCGCTGAGCGCGTAGTGCGGACTCTCGCGGAGACCTGCGAGGCTGCCACCATGTCTCAAGAAGGTGTAGAGGTAGGAGATGGCTACGGCTGGGCCGGGGGCCCTCAAGAGACGCCGGGAAGGGGCCGGGGCCGGGGAGGGGGCTTCGCAGTTCCTTGGGACTCCATCCAAAGCCCAAACCTTCCTCCTTAGCCCACCCCCCCAGAAAGGAGAGTGACCGCCACCTCCCCCAGAGCGAAATGCGGCCTCCTGGACGAAAAGCGGGGGCTGCAGGGTCAAGGGTCAGAGGCCAGGGCTTACCTGGCCGGCCTCCTCCCGAGTCTAGGACGCTCGCCCCAGTCCGCACCCTCCCCCAGTGCCTGGTGGGGACTTTGGCTTTTTCCAGGAAATGCCGTGGAAGGATGGGGGTGGGGGATGCGGAGGCCAAAACCAAGGGTCAAGTTCAGGCCGGGAGAAGGATGCCTAGAAATAGTGGATGGGGCAATTGCCCTTCTTCCCCAATCGAAGCCCCCCTTTTCCCCCACCCCAGCTGGAGAAGAGCGTCCGGCGCCTCCGGGAGAAGTTTTATGGGAAGGTCTCCAACAGGAAGGCGGGGACTCTGATGAGGAAATTTGACAGCGACCACACCGGAGTGGGCCGCTCCATCGTGTACGGTGAGCGGATAGGGGTCCCAGGACTGGTGGGCTTTTCGCGTGGGGGAACGTGCCGTGGTCTGTGCGGAGGGTAGGAAGAGGAGTTGAGATAATCTCTTGGGGAAGGGTCTGTATTGGAGTTCCGGAGACCCTGAAACTCCCACAAGATCCTTCAAGGGCCCTTCACTTACACTTAACTCTCCCCACCAGGGGTAAAGCAGAAAGATGGACAGGAACTGAGTAATGACCTGGATGCCCAGGTAAACTGCCCCCCTCCGCTCAAAGGACAGTGTAACTGGGGAGGGAGAACAGAGGGAACCCTGCCCATCCTTGGTGAGCCCTACTCAGTGCAGTGCCCGTCCACAACTCATGGTCCAACCACATTTACTTATTCACTTAACTGTTGTGTGTCCTGCCAGCGAGCCTGCAAACAGTAGGTCTTCATTACATGCTAATGGTATTAAATGGGGGAGAGAGACATGAAACTAGTGACATGAGCCAGGATTAATGTTATCACAGAGGAGCCCTAGAGGTCAGGGAAGGCTTCCTGGAGGATGTGGTGTCAACTGTTAAAGGCTGAAAAAGAGTGATACCTGGGAATGGAGGGGTCAGAAATGTCTTCTTGGAAGAGGGAATAGTGTGAGCAAAGAAACACGCAAATAGGCTGGGATGAACAGGAGATAGGGAAGGAGAGAAGGGCAGGGGGCTTGTGTTGAAAAAATGAATGAATGAACGCTTTGAAGCACAGATATACATCATGGCCACTTTGCCCTTTAGATGGCTTTGGTTGCTGATGCACTGTGGATTTTGCCCGCCTGAAAGACCAGCATAGAGTTGTTAAAGAGTATAATAAAGTATGTATTATACTCTTTACCTTTATACATTGACATTGATACCTATAAAGAGTATGATAAAAAATAAAGAGTAGCATTTAGAATTGATTGAGCACTTCCCTTGCTGGACTCCAGGAATTTTACCTGTTGACTCATTTCATCACCACAACAACCCCATGAGACAGGTCCTATTATTTATTACCCGGTTTTATGGATGAGGAAACTAAGATAGTGATGAAGTCACCAGCCAGGATTATGCAGCATGCAGGCGGCAGCTGGGATTTGAACCCCAGGCACTCAGAGTCAGAGCCTGGGCTCTGAGATGCCCCTCTTTAGGGACCCAGGGGGAGTAGCTTGGCCACACCCCCATAGCTGGAAGTAATGCAGGGTTGGGGATCGAACCTGCATCTATCTGAACTCAGAGCCGGAACACTTAGCCTAAAGCAGCATGGCCTCAGAGGCAACTCATCCCAATGCCAACAAATGTGTGGTACTTGCCAGCAGTAAGGGAGCATGGGGTCCAGGCCTGCTCCCCCACACTCAGGGTGATCTCAGACAAGCCCTCTCCTGGCTCTGGGCCTCAGTTTCCCCATCTGAGCAATGGGGATAACAGGTGTGCCCACCTCTCAGAGCTGCTATAAAGATAACTGAGGTCATGTACCTGGCTCTCAGTAAGGGCGCTGCTCAATCAGCTCCTTGTGTGTTAGGAACACCCTACTCTTATATGGGGCTGGGAGGGTCCCATCTAGGAGCCCCGCCCCCAACAAAGAAGGTGAAAAGAGGCCTGAGCTGAATCCCCAGCCTCTGCCCCTGGTGTCTCCACCCAGGACCCGCCAGAGGACATGAAGCAGGACCAGGACATCCAGGTGAGTCCAGGGTGTGGGAATGGGGGAGGTGGGGCAGGGAGGACATGCATGGGAGTGAGGTCTTTGTAGGGGAGGGGGAACGCATCTGCTAGGAAAGGAGGGCTGAGACTTGTTATTGTTGGTGGAAGAGGGGTGACCACCCTCTAGTGCCCATTCCCCCTCATTCCACAGGCAGTGGCAACCTCCCTCCTGCCACTGACAGAAGCCAACCTACGCATGTTCCAACGCGCCCAGGAAGACCTCATCCCTGCTGTGGACCGGCAGTTTGCCTGCTCCTCTTGTGACCATGTCTGGTGGCGCCGTGTGCCCCAGCGGAAGGAGGTGATAACCCAATCCAACCTTGAGTCTGTCCTGAACTCCACTCCCAACCCTCATCCTCAATGTCTGAACTTCTGACCTAAGAACATCAGCCTCTGAGAGCTCAACCTTTATCTCACACCCTAACCCCCAACCCTGACCTGGACTTCTGACCTTCAACTTGAGGAACTCAACCCTTACCCTGGAGCCTGACCTCTGACTCCACAGCTTGACAGCTACCACAGAAATCAAATCTGACCCCGAAACCACAACCCCAAATCTGGTATCTGAACCCCTTAACTAATGGTGTGCTTCTGGTCAATGCTTAACAACCAGCTCTTGTGGGTGTGGCGGGGGGAGGAACCCCAGATTTCTAGTGTTTGCCAATTTCTGTGGTGTAAATATTCCCCGTGGCCAATATCAAGCTAGCAGAGTTCCTTCTGATAGCGAGCCTTCTGTCTTCTCCACACCTGCAGGTGTCCCGGTGCAGGAAATGTCGGAAGCGCTATGAGCCTGTGCCATGTGACAAGATGTGGGGCGTGGCTGAATTCCACTGCCCAAAGTGCCGACACAATTTCCGGTGAGGTCCTGACTCCCCCCCCTTACCCTCAGCCCTGCCTTACTCCTGCCCTGGACCCATCCTTGCCCTCTCCCTTGGACCCTCATGGCCCTGCCCACCCCCAGGGGCTGGGCACAGATGGGGTCCTCATCCCCTTGCTACGGGTGCGGCTTTCCTGTGTATCCGACACGGATCCTCCCTCCGCGCCGGGACCGGGACATGGACCACCGCAGCACCAACACCCACTCCTGCTCAGCTGCCGACTGCTACAACCGGCGAGGTGAGGACCTGGCTCCTCCCCAGTGGTCTCTCCCGACTGTGGGCGGTCGACTTGGCCTTGAGTCCTAGGATATCCACCTCTGAGGCCTTAAGTCTCTGCCTGCTTCTTCCACATGCCTCTCAAGGCCTGTCCCCGTGGCCACTTCCCATGCCATCGCCGCCTCCATGTTTTCCATGGCTCCCCAGCCTCCATGACCTATAGCACCTCATCTAGGACCCCTGAACTTCCTAAAACACACCTCCACTGGCATCAGCCACCTTCCACGGTCTTGCCTATGAGGCTCTGTAATTTCCCTCCAGTGACCCACACCCATGTCCCGTGGCCTCTGCCTCTGTGGTCTCTGTGTTCTTGGCTCCTGTTTTGTCTCCTGGAGCCTCAGGTGACACCCATGTCCCTGGATCTCCTATGGCTTTCACCTCCAAATTTCCTGTAGCTCTAAGCTTGTGGCCTCAGCTCTGAGTCTGTGGCCTCAGCCTGCTGGCCCCAGAGTCTCATGTGACCTCAGAACCTCTCCCTCCCCAGAGCCCCATGTGCCTGGGACATCCTGCGCACACCCGAAGAGCCGGAAACAGAACCACCTGCCCAAAGTCCTACACCCCAGCAACCCCCACATCAGCAGTGGCTCCACTGTGGCCACCTGCCTGAGCCAGGAGGGCCTGCTGGAAGACCTGGACAACCTCATCCTGGACGACCTGAAGGAGGAGGAGGAGGAAGAGGAAGAGGAGGAGGGTGGGCACAGGGAGTGACCCTACCAGGTGCAGATGCAAACCAGACACGGTCTGTGGATATTTTGTGTTATTATAAAATATGAGCTCAAACAGAGATCTAAGTGCCCTTGGGGAGCTGCCTGGGTTAAGAGATGTTGGCAGGGGGATTCCTGGGTCCTGTTTTCAGGGCCCTGGGGAGCAGACTGACGACAACAGGAAGGTCTGTGGGACATGGCCCATACTAAACCATGAAGGAGGTGTGGCCAGGACAACTTTGGCTTCTGCTGACAAACATCCCATGGGACCTGGGGTACAGATGGACAGATGGTCACAGCCTCAGGGGCCGGATCAGCATGGCAGCCTTCTTGAGAGAGTAAGCTCCGCCACGAAACTCAGCCCAGTAGACACCATCCTGGTAGCGGCTGCGATAGTGGCCACCACGGTGCCACACACCATTGAGGTTGGAGTGGGCACAGGCATGGTACCACCAGCCTCCCCTCTGGTACAGGGCGCAGTTACCTGAGGGGAGAGAGAGTCCATGTCCTCTTACCAGAATAAAAGCCTCTACCAGTACTTCACTAGTGCAAGGCTTTTGCCAGGCATCCCGTGGCCCCCACTTTCTTCTTCAGAGTAATGGTCTTAATTCCTTCCCTATCTGCTTATTAAAGTACAAACCATACTTTCCCTACCCTTTCTGCAAACTAGGAGCTCTACCCCTCATTCCTTTACCAGGAAAAAAATCTTTTCTGTCTCCTTTATAGACTAAGTCCTAGCTCTCACAACACCCCCATACTTCCCCACATGCATGCCCTGCCTTTCACCAGAACAGGAGTCCTGACTATCTTTATTGCCTCATCAGAGAAGGAATCGCCCCATCCTCTCACCAGAATAAAAGTCCTATCCTCTGTTCTCTTGCATACCCTGATTCTTACCAGAAGGAAGTCTTATCCCTTTCATTCCCTCACTAGGAGTCCTACTGCCCCCACTCCCCTCCACACACACACACACCAGAATAAGAGCTCCTTACCAGAGTAGGAGTCTCGGTCCCTATCTACAGTGCTGAAAGGCTTGTCATTGTGCCAGGAAAGAGAGTCTCCTGCATCTCCATGGTACTGGCCAAGCCGTAGGCGGTAGTGGTCTCTCTCAGGCTCCAGGGAAAAAGCATCATAGTGGGCACGTGCACCACGGCCCCCCCAATCCTCCAGGAGCACCAGCAGCTCATGGTCCCCACGGCTGGTCAGCTGATGCACGGGTTCAAGGCCCAGCCAATATTCTCCATCAGGCTGCCCAAAGCCCACCTGGCAGGGCAGGAAAGTCAGGAAGTTAGGAGCAGGTCCCCTCCCCTGCCCAGCCCTGCCCCTGCCCACCTGCACCCACCTTATAGTGCTGCCAGGTAGTAAAGAAGTTGACAGAGCCATCTTGCCGCCTCTGGATCACAGTCCAGCCTCCACCTTCCAGCTGTTGCTCGCACCATGCCAATACCATATGCCGGCCCAGTCGCAGCTCATACACTCCACTCTGCCCATGGCCTGCCCAATGGGCCTCTGCACAATCCTGCCACGGGCCTGTGAGCACAGAGATACGGGGGAGGCACAGCCTGGACCAACCAACCCCTTACTGGAGTAAGACTCCTAATTCTCACTGGTTCCTTCATCAGAATAGTAGTCCTGCCTCTCCCATTCCCTCACCAGAATAAGAGCCCCAAATGCCTATGCCCATTTCTTTACCTGAATAAGACTCTTAAGTCACTCTTCTCTCACTATAGCACATGTGGAGCCTGGGGTTCTTAAATCCTGTCTCTATGGCCTCACCAGAATAGAAGTGCTGAACATGGCACTCTGAACCAGCTCAAATTCTCACCAAAGTAGCAGTCCTAAATTCCCTGTCCCCTCATCAATATAAGAGAGCCTCATGTCCTGCTTTCACACCGTAGTTAAGAATTTTGGTCTTTACCAGAGTAGGAGCCGTAGCTCCACGTTCCATCACCAGATTAAAAGTATCATTTCCTCTAGTCCTCCACCATGAGAGGAATCTGCCATTAAAATCCTGACTCCTATTTCCTTCTACTAATGCTGCACTGGAAGTCCCCTGGCTCTTCACACCCCCAACAGCCCTGCCCTCATCTTACCCGCTGGCTTGGTGGGGACAGCAGGGTACCCTGTGGGCATGGAAGAAGCCAAGGGCTCCTGCTGGCTCTGGGGCTCTGGGGCTGGGTCTAGCCTCCTGCCGGTGTCATTCGTGCCACCCACCAGACTGACCGGAACCACAGGTACCAGAGGCGGTGGCAGGACCTGGGGTGACCAAGAAAGTCAGATGTGATTGCACTAACCCTCAGCCTAGGCCACTCTCAGCTCCTAAATCTGCCAGCACCCAGATGGGTGGGAGATCAGGCAGGGGCATGGATTGATCCTCCCCAAAAGCCTAACTAACTGTCAAAGCAGACAGTTGGGCCTAAATTCCTGCTCTGGTGTACACAGCTTAACCAATCTGTGCCTCCAACTCCTTTTCTGTAAAGTAAGGATAATATGCGTACCTCCAACAATGAGTATTAATTTACTGAATGCTCCCAACAACCCTGTATGGTAGAGGCTGTCACAAAGCAACAATCTCTTATTCAAAACCCAGCGCCAGACATGTTCCAGAATTCAGAATAATATGGCAGGAGTTAGAAACAGTAACATAGGGTCTATATTGTGTATTACATAACACCTCCATAACATGGGTGTTTGGTCTTTACCCACACAATATGCTTGATTACAGGATTCTAAAAATAGTCATATGAAGTAGATTAAGTAAAGACTAAGTAGCCACCAGTTGCGTTTTGACCCAAATGAGATATAGGAGGAGAGGGAGGAATCCAATTTTTGGAACTTCGTATTTTCATAACTGCAGATAAGAGATTCTGGGGTTGCAGGAGACCCATCTTACAGACAATGCGTACAGGAAGTGGCTGCGATTCTGAGGGGACGGCTACGGGGTTACCTGCTGCTGCCCGCCCGAGTCCCCTGGACACAGGCGCTCCAGGCGGGCGATGAGGCTACTCTGTTGGCTGACCAGCTGCGCCAGCTCGCGGAACTTGACGTCCAGCTGATGGAAGTGGGCAGCGGCGCGCTGCGCCTCGGCCGACGCGTTGAGCACGCGCTCCCCAAGTAACGCCAGTGCGGCGGCGGGCTCGGCTCCCGGGCCGGGCGCGGCTCCTGGGTCCGCCTCGTGCTGTAGCTGCGCGCGCAGCTGGCCCAGGCGCGCGCTCAAGCCGCGGCTCTCCTTGCGCAGCGCGCGCACATCGCCGGCCACGGCGCTGTCGGCCGCAGCCAGCCGCTGAAGTTCACGCAGCAGCTCCTCGTGACGGCCCACGCGCACGCGCAGCGCCGCCACCTCGCTGGCGTTCACCGCCTCTCGCACCGGCCCCGCGGCTGCTGGCCCGCTCCAGCACACGGCGCCCGTGAACTTCTGCTGGGGTAGCACGAAGGTGTAGGTGCAGCGCGGGGCACCTGCCCGTGCCCACGATGCGCCCAGCAGGAGCAGCAGATGCAGCGTGCGCAGCCTGGGCGCCCACATGGCGGACCTGCAGGCAGAGGACGAACAGGAAGGAAGGGGGGACCCGGGAACCCAGACTCGACCCCTGAATCTCAGGCTGGGCTAAACCCAGCTGCTCCCAGGTGGAGTCGTGTCTACACCTGCGTGGCTCCGAGTCCAGAAACGCCCGAGGCTGGAGACGACCCAATGGTATCCCGCCCTGGACTCTCCACTGAGTTCCAGAAGCCCTGAGGGACTGCCGTGGCTCATACATTCATTCAACAAGCATTCATTGAGAGCTTACTGTGTGCCGCCCTAAATTCTGGGAGCTGGGAATACAGGCGGGAACAAAACACAAAATCCTTGCCTACCAGGAAAAACATAAAGCATAAGATTAATAAAGTGTATTAGGTGGCGCTAAGTGCTAAAGATAAAGAGCGGAGAGACATGGGGATCTGTGCAGGGGAAATCTGAGAAGAGGGAAAGCCTCCTGGAGGAGGTGACATTTGGACAAAGACCTGAAGGAGGTAAGGGAGGGAGGAAGGCTTGGGGCTGTCTGAGGAAGAAGAGTGGCCCTGGCAGGGGAAACAGCAAGTGCGTCCCTAGCACCTAAAACAGGGCCTGGTGCTATACACCTCCCCACCCCCCAACACCCACATGCCCCAGGTCTGCTGTGCCCCGAGGTGTTCCCTAGCTCACACAAGTGGCCCCCTACAAGTGTCCTCACTAAAGGGTGTGTACTTGTGGCCACCTACCCCCGACGCTGTAGGGTCCACACACGAGTCCCCATTGTCTTCATTCTTGGGGTTCACAGACTCTCAGAGGGGGGCACACATGCCTCCCATGTGTACCTGCAGACACTCAGAACATGTCTCAGGTGTCCACTCAACACCCTGTACCAAGTTCCACTATGTCCTAACCCACGTGTCCTGGTCGTCACCCAGGCACATGTCCTGTGGTCTCCATCGTCACACGTTGCCTCATTCACAGTCAACAAACACTCCCTCAGCCTGTTGTGTGCCAGGAGCTGTTGCAGGCAATGGGGACACAGCCGTGACCAACACAGACAAAATCCCTGCCCTCGAGGAGCTGACATTCTAGTTGGGAAAATGGACAGTGGATAGGTCAGAGGGTGATAAGTGCTTAGGAGAAAACTCAAGCAGGGAAGGGGGTGGGAGTCCTGGGCTTGGGTGGCATTTTAAATAGAGGGGTCAGGCCTCTATTTAAAGAGATGACACTTGAGTGAAGACCTGAAAGAAGAGAGAGGAGGGGAAGAGCATTCAGGCAGAGGGAACAGCAAGTATAAAGGCCCTGAGGTGGGGCCTTGCTTGATGTACCCCACGAATAGCAGGGAGGCCTGTGAGGCTGGAACAGAGAGAGTGAGGGGGAGAGTGGAAGGAGGTGAAGGCAGGGAGGTGAGGAGCAAAGTGTGCAGGGCCCTGAGGGCTTCGAGAAGGACTTCAGCTTTTACTCTGAGTCATATGGGAACCAGGGGAGGGTGGGGGGTTCTAAGCTGGACAAAGCACATTTATAACTGAACTCACACATGAAGCAGGAGCTCCCAACAGGAGAGCGGGGTCCTCTACTTGTCTACCTGAGGGGCCACCAGGCCCCTCACAACAAAAATGGGCCACATCTCCTGGAGCTAGAGTGTGTAACATCTGCTGCCTTCCAAGATCTCAGCCTGGGGTGAGGAGGAGGCCTGCGAAGCCCCCTCAGTCAAGCAGAGGCCCCAGTCTCTCAACAGACAGAATCAGCCTTCACCTGCCCTCCCACCCTCCTGTTCTCTCACCTTTCACAACCAAGACCCTGAATCCAGTGACGCTCGCAGCAGGCACAGAAGTCTGAGGAGGAGCCAAGGTTCCAGCAGGGGCCTCTAAGCTGGGAAAGGGGAGAGGCTGATGGGAGAACAGGAGGGAGGAGGCTTAGTCCCAGAGCCTGGGACTAAAGCTGTGATGCTGAGACCAGGAGCTCCAACTGTAAATATTTAGGATTTCCCACATGAGAATTGAGGCTGAATTGCCAGACCCCCTGTCCAGGCCACCAGAGCCTGATAACACAGGTCAGTGCCCTGGACATTCCCCCCACTGCAGAGCACAGAGCCTGGCAGGCTGCAGGCCCTGGGATCAGGGGATCCGGGCCTCACACACACACACACACACACACACACACACACACACACACACACACACACACACACACCACAGAGAAGGGCAATAATCAACAGCAGCACCTGCTGTGGGTCAGGCATGACTCTAAACTCTTTACACCTTTTATCTCATTTAATCCTTGCAACCTGAACTGCCTTCTGTGTGTAGCCTCATTTTATAGCAGGGAAAACTAGCCTCAGAGGGTGAGTGACTTGCCCACGGTCACACATCTGGAAAGGGTTGGCAATGGGATTCGGCCCAAGTAGCTTGGCTCCAGAATTCGCATACATACGAGGTCAGACAATTAAGTTCACGAATTGTTGGCGAAAAGTTCAAGTCATCTAACTTTTTCACGCAGCCTTTTCAGCACTTCCAAATAGTAAACTTGGTTAACTGTTTGTCCTGTTGGTACAAATTCATAATGAATAATCCCTCTGATATCAAAAACAGGTTAGCAACATTGTTGCAACAAGCTCAGGAACTTAATTATCAGACTTTGTATGCTGTGATAGTCACACACATCCATGTGTACATAACACAAAGGCATACAGACATCCAACAAGACATGCAAACCGCTGCACAAAGCAGCAAAGATAGACAGATGGAATGTGTGTGTGCATGTGTGTCTATGGATTTGCCTGGCACACGCACACGCAGATTCCATTTGCCAAAGACACAACCAGAAATACAACACAGATTCGGGCAGCAGTTGTGTGTTCAAAATTTGGTCACACACATAAACACACATATACATCACAACTTAAAGGAAAACCTCCTGTGGGCTGAGTGTGTCTGTACCTGTGTGTCAGACACATACATACCCAGGTACACAGAGGATCACACACTGGCAAGCACAGAGATGCAGACCGGGTACAGAGCAAGCCCCTGGCAACAGCTCACCCCCAACAACAGCACGCATGTGTCCATTTGTCTCCCACACACAGTCACATCTTCACACAGGGCCAGTCATGCAGGCACAGAAACAGGCTGAAGTAACCACACAACCATTTCTCAGGGGTACAGAGATTCACGCAGAGCCCCCAACCCTCCCAACCCCACCCCAGAGCACAGGCCTGTGTTTTCCAACCTGTGCGAAGGCCTTGCAGACTAGCAGCCTCCTTCCCCAGTTCCTCTGTCCTGAACTCGTAACCTGAGTGGACTCCGGGCCTGAAAGAGGAAATGGTCGTCCCAGATCTGAGACAGGCTGCCAGGCTGGGCTCCAGGCCTGGGCTGAGGCCCCCCACACTGGGCCCCTCAGCCCCCCACCCGCAGCCCCCTCCAGCTTCCCCCATTGGCAGCAAAGAGAAAAACCTCCTAAGTCACAGAGAGGGGCTGATAGAAGGGAGAGTCCGAGACACAGGGAAGGGGAGAGACACAGGGAGTCTGGAGAGACAGGATAAGAGAGAAATGGCGATAGAGACAGAAGAGAAAGATGGAAACTTAGAGGTGATGAAAGAGACAATTGATGGCAGAGACAAAGTTGGGGGAGAAGGAGACAGACATATGGAGGAGACAGAGATGGGGAGGAGGAGACAGTGGGGGAAGAATTGGGGAGGGGGAGACAGATGAAGAGGAGAGGCAGAGGGGGAGGGGAGGCAGATGGGGGAGGGGAGGCAGATGGAGGAAGGGAAGCGAATGGGACAGGGAGAGAGATGTTGGGGGCGTCTCTTCCCCCCACCCCAAGGTTCTGGGGAAGAAGCCAGGGGCCTGAGGCCAAGATTGGGGCTTGGAGTGGAAACCGGGAGGGGATGAATTTTTCACCAAGCGCCCACATTGCCCTAAGTTTCCAGAAGGTGATGTGGAGTTTCCATCCTCAACCCATCCGCAGGCAGAGCCCCGTGGGAGGACAGCTGGCCGTCAGGAGTTGGGGGCCCAAATGAGTAACAGCCACAGCGCTACCCCGCTTCTCTAGCTGCTCCCCAAGTGCCTAGCGCCACTGTGCCAAGCACTGTGCGTACATCGTCTCTCTTAATTCGCAGATCAGAGGGTAAATGATAATTATCTTCAGTTTAGGGTCCTTTAGGAGTCTCGGGGTGGGGACAGTGGCTCTCAAAATCGTACCGCTGGCAGAACTGGCCGAGGCAGGATTCGAACCCGCGACTCATTTCTTAGCGCTGTCACGGACTTCCTGATTCTCGCAGCCCGCCCCCGTTTCCGTAGAAACAGGCACCACGTGTTTCCATAGCAACCCCTCCAATTTTTTTTTTTTTTTCTTTTTTCCCCTATCGCTATCTGGTGCGTTAGCTTGCCTAGTGACATCACCGCGCAGCGGCGCCTCACGTGATAGCTTCGCCGGTGCCGGAAATGAGTGGTGTGGCGCCGGAAGCGGCCGGCAGAACGGCCCTCGTGGAGAAGACGGCGGCATGGGGCAGTCAGGGCGGGTGAGTGCGGCGGCCGGGGAGGCGGGCGGCGCGGGCGGCGCGGGCGGCGGCCGCAGCGCTCACCGCTCGCCTCTCGCCTCTGCAGTCCCGGCACCAGAAGCGCGCGCGCGCCCAGGCTCAGCTCCGCAACCTCGAGGCCTACGCCGCGCAGCCGCACTCGTTCGTGTTCTCTCGGGGCCGCGCGGGTCGCGGCGTCCGGCAGCTCAGCCTGGACCTACGACGGGTGATGGAGCCGCTCACTGCCAGCCGCCTGCAGGTCTGCACCCCTCAGCCGGCTTTCACCTGCCCTGGGCCCCGTCGTCGCGGCTCCAACCGCTTGGGGCTTCAGCCTCCCGGGGTGGAGAAGGACCCCTTTGGGGATCGTCGTCTTTGCCTCTCAGGGTTTTCCGGGGCAGCAGTGAACGCACTCAGCTTAGGGTTTTGCTGGGTGCCTGAGACTGGTGGCTAAGAGGGGGACTCTGGAATCAGCAGAACTGGGTTGGAAACTTGGCTTCTCTCAAAGGCCTGGAACAAGTTACTGAATCTCGCTGTGCTTCAGTTGGTTTATCTGCAAAATGAGGACATGGGCGCAGGAAACAAGAGGCGGTCCTCGAATTCAAGTCTCATTGGCTCTAGAGACCAAGAGCATTCCACTCCCCCCCCCCAACCCACCTCCCTTCTGGGGAGGATTAGGTGCAAGAAAGGGCATGGCAGTTTTAAGCTTATAGTCTGATGAAAGGGGGGGTCTATGATCGTTCCTTTTTCTTTTTTCTAATTTCCAGGTACGAAAGAAAAATTCTCTGAAGGATTGTGTGGCAGTGGCTGGGCCCCTTGGGGTCACACATTTCCTGATCTTGAGCAAAACGGAGACCAGTATCTACTTTGTAAGTGGACACCCACACCCCTTATTTCCCCCACACCCTCCTTCTCCCCCAACTCTCATGATGAACCCACGTGCCTCTGAGCTGCTGTGATTCTGGCTTCAAAGTAAACGCTCTGAAGAGATGGGGCAGAGGTTCCCACTCCCCCTACTCTTTACCTGGAAGCCTCCACCCTCATTGATCCTTTTTTCTGTAGAAGCTGATTCGCCTCCCAGGAGGCCCCACCTTGACCTTCCAGATCAACAAGGTAAGGATTGGAGCTGGTATGAGGGCCATGTAGGGTGGGAGCTGGGCTTGGGGATGGCGCCAGCTGTGAGTGGTTGGCCATCACCCACTCCTTAACCCCCGCCCCCCTGCAGTACACACTGGTGCGTGATGTGGTCTCCTCACTGCGCCGGCACCGCATGCACGAGCAACAGTTCACCCACCCGCCTCTCCTGGTGCTCAACAGCTTTGGCCCCCACGGCATGCATGTGAAGCTCATGGCCACCATGTTCCAGAACCTGTTCCCCTCCATCAATGTGCACAAGGTGGGCTGGGCCTGGAGTGGCAGGTGTGGGTGGACATGGTTGGTAGCAGGTACCACACAGGCCCTGTGGTTGATTGCTCAGTTCTCACTTCCCAGCACTGAGGCTGAGATCTCTGGCTCCCAAAGTCAAATCTGACTTATGTTGTGTGACACAGGGCAAGAGGCTCCCCGTGAGCTGCCTTCCCGTCTGGCAGGTGGAAAACCCAATGGTGTTTGGTTGAGTCCTGGTTTAAGGGGTGTAGTCTGTGTTGTCATGACTCCATCTTACAGAAAGGGAAACTGATGCTGACAGGTGAAATAACTGGCCTGACGTTAGATATAAGGCATCAGGGGAGGATTGTATTTTCTAAGCTGGCTCCAGAATCCCAGCTCCTAATTCCTGGCATCAGCGGGTCTCAAATTCGGCTTGTTAGATGCGATCATGTGGGTGGCCTTCTGGGGGCCCTGAAACCAGGATTTCTAGCCAGCAGTCCACGGACACAACTTGTAGCTCCGTCCATTCCTGCAGGGCTTGGCTTGGGCTCCGGCATGCAGCGAGGTCCGGGGGCAGCTGATGTGTGCCATGCCCTTATCCTGTCTCTTCCAGGTGAACCTGAACACCATCAAGCGCTGCCTTCTCATCAGTTACAACCCGGACTCCCAGGAGCTGGACTTCCGCCACTAGTGAGCATGGGCGGGGGTGGAGGGGCTGCTCTGTGTGCAGCTGATGACAACACTGCTGCTGAGGCTGATTGTTCAATCTCAAAGTAAACACCCTGACGCACTGTGGAAAGGGGAGAGGAGGGCTGGCCTCAGACCCTGTGACCTCTAACTCCCCTCTTCACTCCGGCCCCTACAGTAGCATCAAAGTTGTTCCTGTGGGTGCAAGTCGAGGGATGAAGAAACTTCTCCAGGAGAAGTTCCCCAACATGAGCCGTCTACAGGACATCAGCGAGCTGCTGGCCACGTGAGGAGGGGGCGGGGTAGGAGACTACCACAGTCCAGGGGACCCCAGAACTGTCCCAGCAGCCTGGGATCCCTTGCTGAGCTGTGTGTGCCCTGCTTAGGGGCGCGGGGCTGTCGGAGAGCGAGGCAGAGCCCGATGGCGAACACAACATTACAGAGCTGCCCCAGGCTATCGCGGGGCGCGGCAACATGCGGGCCCAGCAGAGCGCCATTCGGCTCACTGAGGTGAGACCCAGTGGCAGAAGTGGCTTCCTCTGGCAGCCTCCATCCCCAAGGAAGAACTGACTTTACCCCCCACAATGTCCCTCCAGATCGGGCCTCGGATGACACTGCAGCTTATCAAGATCCAGGAGGGTGTCGGGGAGGGGAACGTGCTGTTCCACAGTTTCGGTGAGGACGGGGATGGCGGGTGTCTGAGGCCCTCCGAGGTGGGTCACAAGGTAGTGGGCACACCTGGATCTTGGTGAACCATCTCTTCTCAGTGCATAAAACAGAGGAGGAGCTGCAGGCCATCCTGGCAGCCAAGGAGGAGAAGCTGCGTCTCAAGGCCCAGAGGCAGGACCAGCAGGCCCAGAATGTACAGAGGAAGCGGGAGCAGCGAGAGGCCCACAAGTGTGTGGCTGGCGGGTAGGGAGGTGGGTCCTAAGAGCCGGCTGCCACACTGACCAACACCCCTCTCCAGGAAGAAGAGCCTGGCGGGCATGAAACGATCACAGGCAGAGGCTGATGGGGACAGCGATGCTGAAGACCCTGGGGCCCCCCCTGAGGCAGAGGGGGCCGGCCAGCAGGAGGAGGAGGATGAAGCCGAGTATTTCCGCCAGGCAGTGGGCGAGGAGCCTGATGAAGGTGCATGGCAGGAGTCAGTGTGGCCGGGCGTTGTGGGCCTGTTCCTGTGCCCTGGTGGCCCTGACAGTCTCTTCTTGCAGACATGTTCCCAAAGGCCCGACGGAGACGACCCAACGGGCCTCCAAGCAAGAAGCGGCGGGTAAAGGAGCGGAAGCTGGACCGAGGCAGTGACCGGAGGCCTCCAAAGGCAAAGGGCAAACCCTGGAGGGCCCAGGCCAAGCTGGGGCCCCGAGGGGCTGCTCAGAACAGTGGGCGAGGCCGACCTCGGCCACCTAAGTGAGTGGCCTGAGGCCAAGCCTAAGCCGAGGATGGAATGCCCCAGATTGGGGCCCGAGAGATGCTGCCCTGGGCTCTGGCCCAGGTGTCCAGGTGCATCCCTGTTTCCTTTCATAAAGGAGCTGGTTCCCCAACCGCCTACTCTAATAAACACTGATTTCTCATGAATCACAGGCTGTGTTTGGAATGGGGGGTGAGGGGGCTTGGGGCACAGGGTCCAGAGAGGCCAGCAGCCCCTGGGAGTTGGACCTGGTTTATGACCCCCAGCCTTAGTAGTGGAAGTACAGAACCTTGTTTTACAGCTGAGGGAAGCGGGTATATTTGACTCTGGTCTTTGGTGGCTCTGGACCCTGGGCCCCTCCCCAGCCTCCCCCAGACAGTGCCCATCAGCAGACCCAGATCTAGAGAGTACAGTGAGGAAGGAAATCAGCAGAAGGGAGGCTGGTGCCTGACCTGTAACATCAGCCACCTAAATGTGGAGCTGCTGTTCACTTGGGGGAGGGGCCAAGACAGCGAGTGCAGCAGACCCAGAAGCAAGTTGGTGTGCCATGGCCACCGCCGCCACAGTTGAGTGAGTGCTGCTGGGTCGTTGAGCTGGGCACAATCAGGGCCCAGACCTCTGCAGCCCAGGACTGGGGTGGAGGGGGCGGGGAGATGGTGTAAGAATCATGTCTGGACAGTGGCTTTCCCCTAGAGCTCGAGCCAGAAGCTGGGATGGAGAGGCAGAAGTGAGAGCACAGAAACAGGCTGCAGCAAGAACGGGGTCTGTGCACCTAGCACAGTGGCCAGCCTATTGGACCCACTGGTAATGGGCCATTTCTCAAGAAAGTCTGTGGGAGGGAATCAACTCCAGGGCTCTGCTCTCCCCCATGCTGCAGTGTTCCCAGGTGCTGTTCTGAGCACTCGGGAGCCAGAAGCCAGCATTCCTTGCCCTCAAGAGAGATACTATCCTGGGGACTTTCCTCAGTGATCAGATGGAGATACAGGCTGTGGACAAAAAATAAGCAGGAAGGGAGCCACAGGGTGCAGTGACAATGTTAGGGTGGTCAGGATGGGCCTCAGAACCAGAGAGGAGGAAGTGAGGGAAACAGCTTGAAGGATGTCTGTAGCCTATGATTGGGGATGGGGAGAGAACAGTCAGTGCATAGGCCGAGGCAGGAGGTGTCTCACGAGCAGCCGGGAGGAAGCCAGCGTGGGAACTGTAGGAGTCAGCAGATGAGAGCAAGTGGGTGGGAGCAAGAGCAGGGCCTTGTGGTGAGGTGAGAACTGGCTTTCCCAGTGAGGAAGCCCTGGAGGGCTGTGAGCAGAGGGATGCGACCTGATTCAGGTGCTCACAGGCGCCCTCTGGAGGCTGTGGGGGGAGCTGATGAGGACTGTTGGGAGGAGCTGGGGACACCAGGGCAGAAGCAACTGCTGATGCAGATAGATGACAAGAGGCTGGATTCTGGTGGCAGTAAAGGGGTGACAGATTCTGAAGGCGGGGGCTTGCTGATAGGTTGGACTTGGAGGATTGCAGTGGAGTCAGACTCCTGGGTTCCTGCTCCTCCACCCCAGGCCTAACGCTCCCAGTCATCACTGCCACGTTCTGTGCATCCTGCCAGGGCAGCAACCCCCTGGTTCTTGCCCCAGCTGACTCAAAGGTGCCGGACCCAGAAAGAGCCTAGTGAACGTCAATTGAGTGACAAACTCTGGGTTTCTGCCTTTCTTGGGCCCCATTCCTTCTGTAAAAAGCAGCTGCAGTTGACACCACTTATGGACATAGGCAGAAAGTGAGTCGGCAGAGGATTCATGCAGGTGTGGTGCACAGCACTGTGTGGCTCTGAAAGTAGTGGGAGACACGTTAAGGAGGGATAGGGCTGGCTCGGTGACACTGCTCACAGGTGTCCCACCCTGCCCAGCCAACATCTCAGGGGCTGCTGACCGGAAACTGAATAGCTTCCAGGAAGGCTTCCTGTAGCCCCTGCTCGTGGTCGAGTTCCTGGTGGCCGTGGCCTTCTGCTTCAGCACAGGGGAGTAGCGCCCATGGCACCCAGCTGGCAGTCAGCAACCTGCTCTATGCCGAGGCTGTCCCCACTGGCCTCCTACTTGGAACCATCCAAACAGTGGCACTATGGGGAGGCCACATGCTACCTGGAGCGCTTCCTCTTTGCAACATGCTGGGAGGTATCATCTTCATCACCTGCATCAGCATCGACCGCTACCTGGGAATTGTCCACCCCTTCTTCACACGCGGCCACCTGCGACCCAAGCATGCCTTGGCCATCAGCGCCGCTGGCTGGGTGCTAGCAGCCCTGTTGGCTGCACCCACACTCAGCTTCTCCCACCTGACAGTGCCACAGCAGGAAGACAACTGCACTGAGAAAATGCCTCAGGCTTGCATCAAGTGCCTGGGGACAGCAGGTGACAACCAGCTCAACGCGTACAAAGCGTACAGCCTGCCGCTGCTGCTCACCTTGGTGACCTACAGCGCCCTCAGGTGGGCCGTGCTGCATAGCCACGGCTTGACAGCGGCCCAGAAAATGCAACTGGCAGTGCTGGTTGCCAGTGGTGTGGCTCTCTACGCTTGCTCCTATGTGCCCTACTATGTCACACTGGTGCTCAACTAGTCTGCCCAGCTGCGCTCGAGAGCCCACTGCCCAGAATTTGCAGACGCGGCTCAGGCCGTGGAGGCGCTGGACTTGGGGTCCTACGTGGGCCACCAGGTGACGCGGGCCTCATGCCCCTGGCCATCTGCATCCACCTGCTGCTCTACATGGCTGTAGTACCCAGCTCGGGCTGCTGCCACCTATGCTGTCTCGGCTGCAGGGAGGGACAGACCCCAGAGAACACTGAGAGCTCTGGCCAAACTCTGCCCCTCTATGTCACAACCACCTGAACTGAGCCCATGACCTGGCATATCTTGGAGCCTCTTCCTCACCAAAAGGACCCTGCAGCGGAAGGGGTGACAACACAGCAGGTGTCAAACTCCCACTTCCTCCCCGAAACAAGGGCCTGGGGTGGAAGCAATGAACACCCAGGCTAGAGCAGCAAGTATTTCCGCCCACAGCACCAACCCTGAGCAGGGCCTGGGAGCAAACCCACACAGGAAGAGGGAAAGGGGGAGGGCTGACGCTACCTGCCACAAAGTAAGTGCCACCCATATAAAAACAGGACGTGCATAGGAGGATTGGAGCCTTTTTATTGCTCTTGGAGGTTGCCTTCTATCGCTGCAGGGTTCTAGGGCCAGAGGCCCAGCAGCAGCAGTAGTGGTAGCTGGTTTAATTGGTAGATGGCCTAGAGAGAGAGAGAGAGAGAGACAGAAGTGATGAGGGCAAGTGTAGGGGCTTCAGACCCTGAGGGAACACCCCCTCCACACACACATACAGCTGGGACCTCTGGGGGTGGGGCACGGCACAGGGCACACTTGGAGCCAGACCCATGGTGACTAGCATGGCCCGGCCACGATGGCCCTCCTCAAGATGAGAAGGACAATAAATGACCTGTAACCCACAACAGGACTGGTGACTATTCAACTGGCGTGGGGCCCCAGTCAGCCCGAGTGACAGCTATGACACGGTGATGGGACAGGGGAGCAGTCTTACTTGGCCCACTCGACGTTGAGGATGAGGTGGTCGTAGCCAAAGCCAGACACCCCAGCAATGGCGCGTGCGGCATCCTCGCGGCGGTGGAAGCTGATGAAGGCAAAGCCCTGGAGGTGGGGGAGGGAGACGGGTGTTCAGGGCACAGCCTGACAGGTGACCCCTCGCCCCCTCATGGCCACCAGCCCACCTTGGACTGGCCGGTGGTCTTGTCCTTCGCCAGGTAGATGCGGGAGATAGAGCCAAAGGGCCGGAAAAGCTCTTGCAGGTCAGTCTCACGCGTGTCCTCTGACAGGTTGGTGACACGGATGGTGGCGTTGTCATCCGCTAGGCAGACAAGGAGAGGCAGCATTGAGGGGCTGGCCCACCTGGGCGCCGCCCACAGGATAATCACTGGGTGCTGGGAGGTGCTTGCCTACCAGCCTGGCATCAGGGTGCTCTCACTGCCTTACCTCTGCGGTTGGGCTGCATGGACTCCCCGCGGCGGCTGGCCCCGTCCCGCAGGCTTGGTGGCACGTACTTCCCTGTCTTGTTCTGGGCGGCCTGCACAGGCTCCAGCTCTGGAGATCAAAAGCACGGTCAGGTCATGACTCACCCTGGCACAGCAGAGGGACAGACCTACCCAGGATGCCGGCAGTTCCTACCCTGACCTAGCCCGGGAACCATCTGTCAAAGCCACAAGCATCTGGTTGGTCTCCCAGAGGCCTGGTGGCCATGATGACATAAAGAACATCTGGGGGGCGGCAAGGGGGTGGGTGACTGATTAGCTCAGTTGGTTGGAGTGTCGTGCTGACAACACCAAGGTTGCCGGTTCGATCCCCACATAGGCCACTAAGAGCTGTGCCCTCCTTAAAAGAGTCAACTATGCCATTGTAGCATGAAAGAAATGTGTAACCAATGACCATGGCTGTACCCCAATAAAAATAAAAAAAGTTACATCTGGGAAGCCAGCAGCACAGGGAGAGCAAGAAGTCAAAGGGATTGATTCGATCTGAGATGCCTACAAGGCTGAGAGCTGAGGAATACCCAGCCTAGTCTCACAACAGAGAAACACAGGCACACAGGGCAAGGACAGTTCCCAGATGACACACACATGGCAGGTGACAAGTATGCCCCACACAATAGTCAAATGTAGAGCTGTCTGGACTCCAAACTCATCATCAGCAAAGCAAGCTAAAGGACAAGGACTGCACAGTCACCTGTTTGTCTACTCAGGTGTGTGTGTGTGTGTGTGTGCGCGCGCGCGCGTGCACAGAAATACGGAGCAGCTGCCACATCCATGGCAGACAGATGGCACACTCAAGGCAGGACCATCACCAAGTCAGCAGCAGAATCACTGCAGGCATGTCTCACATACAGGGGTCGATCATCTCCCAACTACTTCTGGTGTTATACATGCAGGCACGCACATGAGCGGTTCTCACAGCCGCCGACAAGGACAGACAGGAGACATCACCAGCAGTCACAGCACCCATCTGGCTGGTCTCTCTCTCACACACACAAACACGGACTATGGCCATAGCCTTTGTGGTGCTGACACTGTAGTGTGGGTGATGAGAGCTGCGATGGGGACAGCCCGTACAGAGAGAGCAGGTGACAGCCCAGGACTCTCCAGAAGTGCATACAACCACCCCTCCACCACGGTCCCCCTGCAGTATAGCCTGCCAGCTGCACCCCCAGGCCCTAGAACCTCCAGGCAGCTTCTCCTTCTCGCCAGTGGACAGGCCCAGCTGCTCGGCCAGCTCCTTCTGCATGGGCCCCAGTGTGTCCTTGTAGGGGCAGCGGGTGGTCCAATGGTCGCCCTTGCAGATGCGGCAGGACACGATCTTCTGGCCCTTGAGCTTATTCATTGGGTCCTCCTCCTCTTGGCAGTTCAGATCCTGGCAGGACGGGCAAGGGGAGCTCAGAGGGGGGCTGCTGCACCCCTGCCACTACCAGCCTGGCCACCACCTCCCCGCCCTCGTGCCCCACTTACCTCTTTGCTGGTGATGAAAGTCATGGACACATCATCACTGACTGTGGTGGTAGCCACATTAGGCCCTGGTGGGTCAAACTCTGAGTTCCCAAACTTCTTCCAATTCTGGGCTCAGGGCAGGGTAGGTACAGACAACAGACAGGTCAGGGCAAGGGCAGGTAGGACCATCCCTCCGGCACCCCAGACCTGCAACAGCACCCTTCAGGGTGTCTAAGCCTTAAACCCCATTCTCCACCCTCTCCAAATGCTCCTAACAGCAGTGACAATGACAGTTCCCGTTTCCTGAGTGAGTGCCAGGCTTAATGCCAGATCCAGGAGGCAGGGGCAGCTCCCAACCCCATGTTCCAGAAAAGAGAACAGAGGCTCAGGGAAACAGATGCACAGCCAACAGCTCCTCAGGGGGCTATGCAGGTGGTAGCCCAGTTTCCACCAGGGAGCAATACTCAGGGGTATGCAGGGGTCACCCAAACTTCGAGGGACCTTGGGATAAACAAAGTGAGCCTCAGCTTCCTCTCCTATAAAACAGGGATCACAAATGCTCCCTACCTCCGTGGGATGCTATGGGGATCAAAATGAGAAAACACTTCCCGCAGAGCATTTGGTATGGAGTCTGGCACACAGTGTGCAGATAACTGTGCCAAATGTATTTATTGCTGTCACTTCCGCTATGACCTCCTCAGGGGAGCGTTTGGCTCTGTTCCTCCTAGTAGACAAGCCAAGAAGCGTAAGAATCAACCCTACCCACTCCTGCAACCTGGACTTTAGGGGGTCTCAAAAGAGTACAAACGCCCCTAGCCTCAGTTTTCCTCCAATAAAATAGGTTAAACTGTTAGACCTCACTTCTAAAAATAAAGGCACCAAGAAAAAGAATTCCTCTGAGTCAGCCCTGGGGTAAGCGCCCAAGACAAGGGAGCAGGGTCTCACCTTCCTCCTTGCAACAGCCTTTGAGGCCTTTCGGGTCTCAATTCTGAAGGTGCGGACAATCTGTGGATGGGAGAGGAGAGGAGAGGAGAGGTTTGGGCTTCCTGTCCTCAAGGCTCCTGGGTCCAAGGGATCTTCCTCACCAATCTGCCCAACACAGACCACCACCTCCTTTTCCAAGTGCCCCCACCTGCTCCCCCAGCCTCACCTTGAACTTTTTGCCATCCTCATCTATTTTATACTCAGTCACTGTCTTGATGCTTCCATTGATGACCTCCTTAGGAGGCGGAAGTGGAGCTGGGAGAGAGGAAAAGGTGAGAGGAACTGAGCCACGGGTAATGGGGACCAAGCAGAAATGTGGCTGGGGACAGAGGCAGCCCAGGGATGGAGTGGAGGTCAACACTCACCTCCTGGCAGTAGTTCAGGCTCTGGGCTGGTGTCGCCAGTGGTCAGAGGTATCCCTTTGAGGAGTTCGCTGGTGACACATTTGTCTGTGAGAGGGAGTGTGGGGAGGAGAGGTGAGGTGAAAGGGCGGGAGCTCCCAAGCTGAAATAAAGGGCCCTTTGCGATGATGCCCACACCAGGAGCTGAGGAAGGTGGGACCAAGGGCAGAGGACTGGCCAGGAAGTACCCTGGGACAGCCGTTCGGAGACACCGAGTGGCTATAGTTAACCTCGAGCAATGGCAAGGATAGGGGACACGCCTGGCATAAAGGCAGAGGCAGGCCATCAAAGCACTCGGGAGCTGGTACAAAGGCACAAGGCAGGCTGTTACAACTTCCTCCCCGGAGAGGGGGCGCAGCTGTGAGGACTTGGGCTGTGTGGCGTGGGAGGAAGAGGGGCTGGCTAGTGAACATCTGGAACTGGCGATAGGTTGGCCCAGATGAGGATGGCGCGGGGCAGGGGCTGGCCGTGGAGGGAGATGCGGGGTCGCACGGCGGTGCCAAGGTAGGGGGCTGGAGCAGACGGCAGTGACTGGGCTGGGAGGCTGGCCGCGGTGACTCGGGCGACCAGGCATACTCACCGTCCTCTCCTTCCTCCTCCACCTGGTCGGCCCAGCTGGGCTTCGAACTGCGGGGACAAGTTTGTAGGGGACAAGTTTGTGGGAGAAAGGGGTTGAGTCGGCGAGGCTCCCGCGGCCTCCGCGTACCCAGGCCCCAGAGAACCCCCTAGG